TATTTGTGTATAAATAGACACATGCATCATCATCTTTATCATTATCATAATTGTCATCGTCATCACTAACATCATCATCATTTCTTATTAATACTCAGGGGCGGTCCTGTATGTTCGAAAGCCTAGGGGCGAAAGATTAAAATGGGCCTAATGTTACAAAAAAATTTGTATGTAGAACTCTTTTCTATCTAAAATGACATGCATAATAATTATTATAATAATATTTCAAGACACTTATTAAACATTATAAAACCCTATTCTGTTTAAACCAATCACATTATAGTATTGGTGATCCTTATTTACGAAGGAAACAATGATGATCCTATTTGTACACTTTACTAATGTTTAGGTCGTATATTTAAGGAATTAACTTTATTATTATCACATCCAATGATGTAATCATTCTGAATTATTTCATTTTAAATAGCTAAATTATTGTTCTTCTGTGTGTTCTCATCTTGAGAAGGATATTCACAACTTGACTTCTTTACACAAACAAACTTTTCCATTGAACTTCTTTTACTTATCGCCGCTTTCTCTAATCTTCTATTCTTTTGTATTTATCGTATTCAGATTCAATCCTTCTTATTACACTTTGAAATTAATTAAGTTTATAAATTTTATCATAATTGAAAATGTTTGTCTAACAAAACCAACAAGTTATAACACCACACTCAATAGAAAACAATCAACAATTAAGAAATCAAACAACCATGAATGGAATCAATTAATAAACTAATCAAATAATTATATCAGACTAATCTACTTTCGAGTGGAATTTCTTTACGAAATTTTAAGAGAATTTTTCATCAAGTGTAGACTACGTCCCCAAAATTTCAGCTTAAAATGCAATCGTGAAGTCAGTTAAATAAATTATGGAAACACAATGCGCCGAAATATGTATAAACCCGAAGTGTTTTCAATACTTTATTTAGCCGACTTCTAAATTAAATTTTAAACTGATTTTTTTCTTACATACTCTAAACTTCATAGAGAACATATTCATAAGTTTCGCTAAAAAAATCCATTCAAAAGAACTTCAAAAAATTCCACTCGAAAAATTGTTAGTTCAGGGACGAAAAATCAGCCTACTCACACCTGTTACAAATTGGCCTATTTTTTGCCCATATTTTTTGGGCCTAGGGTGCCCGCCCCGCTTGCACCCCCTAGGGCCGCCCCTGTTAATACTCAGTATTATTTTTAGCACTAGTATTTCAATTTTTTTATGTCAAACAGTCTGAAAATTGTATTACTCGTGAATACTTATATAGTTGGCTTGAATATGTGACAATCAGAAATGTCAAATACTCAAATTGGTGATCCTTTTATGGACGGAGAGATCGAGTAAAACATAGTTACTGTAACTAGCACAATTAAGGTATTCCTCTTGGGACAACTTTAGCCCCGAGTTTCTTGTCTAATAAGGAGATGGCCTTACTAGACTACTAGTCTACCCTAAAGAGCGGTATTGTTCATGGAAACGTTGCTGGGTTGTGGAGAAAATTTACAGAAGAGTGAAAAATTGGATATATAATTGGAGATGACCGGCCTGGCCTTACTTGAGCTAAAGGAAAACGTCCTAAACTTCATTTCTATGTCCTCTATATTTAATTAATACGGAGATATATGTGTGTGTGTAAAACATGCATCCCATGCCAAGGCATTTTGAAGTCGTATGGGCAAATAATAACAGAAGTAAACATGCATGGAGGTGATGGAGCTAGTTGGCAGGCTGTAATGCAAATTTAAGTGTAAATAAAAGAGTGCCCATGATGGCATGATGTGAATACATAAATTGGATGCCAATGGCCGGGTGAAGTGTAAATAGCGCAGTTCATGGAACTAGTACGGATTTGATATGAATTAATCGATGTTTTGTACCAAATAGCTTGTGTCAAAGTGTTTATGGCACGAATTTGACATATCTCTATCAAATCCTTGAATTTTCACGAATTTGTCAAAAATCTATGTTATTCTCATTTTTTTTGTAGTGACCTACGTCGTCTTACTCAGCATGTCCTTGAAAGTTTGTGAGACTAACATTCAATTATATTTTTCTTACTCAACGACAAACATAAATTTCCATTTTATTCATACTTTCTTAAACTCTAATCCAAGTCAATCGGAAAGAAGACTTGTTTAAATATGATTTTTTTTTTGAAAGGGTTTAAATATGATTAGAAATTGATAAGAAATAAAACAGGAAAATAGCTTTATTTGAACAATCCTTCGTGAGAAATGCCTAATATAAATAACTATAGTAGGTTTAAATATAGTACCGTGTTACTAATTATTTTATGTTTTCGCCTATTTATTAACTGAACATTATCATTTTCAAAAAAAAATAAAAAATAAAACTGACCAAGCAAAAACGGGATACGTTATTTGAATTTCCGCAGTGTGAAAACAAAAAAGTTTGAAGAATGGAGCCTATCTATCAAGTAACATATCCTGTTCATGGTGTTCAATCAATAGTCAATCACTACATTTATTGACTGACGAATAATGTTGCCAGTGTTTTCTCTATTTATATGACTTTACCTGCAGAATTTCTTACATTGGGAAATGACTCATGAGCAGAATTTATGAGAATCAAAATCCTCTACCGTTGGCTAGAGGAACCTTATTTAAAATGGATTTATGCATATGAATTCACGAGAGAATCTATGCGTGGGTATGAGGGATTGAAGTATAAAACAATTTAATTTTTTTGCAATATTTTTTGTATTCATTTCTCATAGAAGTAAGGGTCAGATTGGTACTCGAAGTTGCATAAAAAGGGTAAAATAAGTTCTTACTGTCCGGCCGTCGCCATTTGAGGCGGTTTCCAGTGGATTTTTTTGATGAAATTTTTGAGCATTTTATTCACCAAGTCTAGTTTAATTACTCATATCAAATTTCAGCTAAAACTTCAACCGGGAAGGCATTCAAATGAATTCTTGAAGATAACTGTGCTTTTAACTGCGCAGTTATCTTTAAGAATTCATTTGAATGCCTTCCCGGTTGAATTTTTAGCTGAAATTTGGTATGAGTAAACTAGACTTAAAGAATAGAATGCTCAAAAAATTTCATCAAAAAATTCCACCGTAAACCTACCCAAATGGCGACAGGCGGACAAATCCTCCTATATAAAAACTTATTTGACCTCTTTTATGCAACTTCGAGTACCAATCTGACTCTTACCTCATTTCTCATATTTAGCTCACTCCGCTCATTTTCAACTTTAGTACTCCCTCCATCCCGAAAACAACTTCCCACTTTCCTTAAATGGATGTCCCAAAATTAACTTCACACTTCAATACTTTCCTCATTTGGCAAATTATCTACATAAAAAAAGTGATAAACAGTGCCAAACAGTGTTTAAACAGTGCGAAAAGTGTTTAAACAGTGCCAAACAGTGTTTAAACAGTGCAAAATAGTGCATTCTACAGTAAAGTCAAATTTATTTCCTAAAAGTGTGTGAAAGTCCAACCGGGAAGTTGTTTTCGGGACGGAGGGAGTATAATTGCTCTTCAGTCGCTCTTCAGTCTATGAGATCTCAGGATCTACCTCAGTCTGAATTGCTATTTTTTATCAAATGAGTACAATTCACCGGAAACTCTACATTATTTTGGTAGCCAGGTACAGACCCGAATTCAAGTTATGGACATTGTTTGGGAAAAATTAAAGTTCCTGATAGAGTATCTAAATTTGGATCCCCGGATCTCATGACTATTGAGCCTGAACAATGGCCCACGTACACTCAGTAGATAGCATTTTCATTATTATTCATTAGTATTATTATGCAGGTGTTCTAGATTGGATTTCTATATTATCAGTCCATTTATGTAACCGGGTCTGTCGGACCCATATTAGAGGCTCAAACCCGGATTTACCTATATATACTCCTTTAGGGAGGTCTTGTAAACCTAATTCCATATCATAATACACAATACACACTTCATCTTCTCCACACTTATTAGCTCAAACCTCTCCATTTTATTATATGTTTGGATTTCTATTATCCATTTGTTTCCAATATAGAAATAAATAAATTATGAAATTTTAAAATATGACTGTTATATTTTTCTTCTCGAAATAAGAGTAACATAACCGTATTCATTGCCATGTTGAAGTCATTACTTCAAAATAGTTGCAGTTCTAGACTACTAGGTAATAACATGACAATACTTATTGTCATTAATGACAATATTTTTCGATTAGTTTATTTAAAGTTTAATTAGATGATATGTAAGATTATTTTAACGATTAGGAAAAAATGATTCAAATATCTCAAACTTTGAAGTGGCGTAACTTATGGTCATAGACTGTTAAAAATTAAATAATATTACCCGGTTTAGAATGTTAAATTATTTATTTAACACCATAAATTTACATTTGTGAAAGAAATATATATATATATATATATATATGGTCATAGACTCATGGTGTTAAGATAACTTTTATATAAAGTTCGAGACATATATATTACACATGCAAGTTTGGAGTACTTATATCACACTCTTATAACAACTAATTATTTGAGTATCGTTGTTGATGAAGAATTTTAAGCTTTGAGATTATTTAAAAGCCATTGAATAAATATGATGTGCCAACGATGTATAAAGAAAAAATCGTTTTTAAAGAGCATGAATGAAGATGCTCTTATACCTATTTCGGGAAGAAAAATCTAGCAATCATATTTTGAAATTCCAAAACGTGTTTCCTCCTATTTAGACAAATTACCGAAAACTAACCAAGATAAAAAAACATATGAACATATCAGACAAGAGAAAATGAACAATCTTCTGGAGGAAATTTAATAAAATACAAACAAAACTACCAAAATATAACTCGATACAGTGCAATCTAGCAGTAACCTCATAGGAATTGCTATGAAATTTTCTAGTACAATGTAATCTACTCTTATCTAGTTTAATTCAGACCGTTCTGGTAAAATATGATACTCCCGTGTTATGTATATTCCGTTGAATGATTATAATTTTAATAAGACCACAAAAGAGTCAAACAAATCACATTAGAATCATATAAGTACAGCCCTCTACAGTACTAATATTTCTCAGATTCTGACTTCTTTTCAATAATCATGTGACAAGCCAATAGGTCAACAAGCCAAGACAGTGAAAACAAAAACAAAAAATCACCAGCAGCTAGGGAAAAAAACCATAATATGTAATGAGAATGGTGATTCACTACAAAAATGAATTTCTGTAAGTTTTGGAAGTATATGTTGTTATTCTGAAATTTTTGCTACATGTAAAATCATCTAAGCATTGCTACGAAAAAATTTAAAATACTATAGAGAAGTATGGTTTTGAAGATTAGCAAGCAGTCTTGTGACTTTAGCAAGCGTTTCCCGCGCAGAAACTGTATCGGGATGATCCTCACCGTATATAGAAGTTCTGATGAATATCGCCTTCCGGATCAAATCATCACCAATGTCAAACTGACCACCTTTCATCATCAGTTTGGCCCGGATTTCAAGAACGGCCGCCCTCGCCAAAGCAAGCTCCTGCCAAAGACAAGGGTTCAGCTGGGCATTGGTCTGGATCGGTCTCCAGCAAAGCGACTTATCCAACCACTTCTCTACAGGCGTAACGAACGCCTGATCCGCTGCTTCCAATGCATCCGTACACCGCCGGAGCAGCTCAAGAGCTGCACCGCAACGTGAGAACGTGATAAATGTTCGAACAGCAAGCGGCATAACGACTTGTTTGACTAGAAGCAAAAGTTCCGTCACTTTGAGCTCGTCGACCATGGGGTCGCTCCCGTACCCGAAAAGTAGAAAACACGCAGCCCATATGTGTTCAGAGTGTTCGTATATCGATCCGCGGGTAATGACTGCCTGAACCGTGGCTTGCGCGACCTGCGCGTCAATGCCTCTCTTCCGGGCATAATGTCGGACCAGCTCATGGAATTGAATGTACCCTTCCTTAGTACAACGCCTCGCTATTTTAAATCTAAGCAGCATAGATGACGATGCATCCACTCCGGATTTCCTAAGGTGTGTTGGGGTGAGACCACATGATAAGGCGCCTATGACTTTTCTCCACTTCTTTTGGCTTGGGTGTTTCTCTGGTATTCTATGAGCAGCTGTAGCTAGAAGTGGGACCGGGACCGCTGATGGTGCAAACCAACCACTTGCCAAAAGCATTCTGGTCGCCAAACTTCTCGGCCCGTCGGCATGATCGAATATAGAGAAACAAACCTCTAAGAGCTTTAAAAGGAAGACATTTTGCCTTAACGGATGGTTTACAGTCTCTCTTCTGTCACTGGAAATCACATCCATTGAGGGCATGCGATTTATGGTGTCCAACAGTCGGGTCGGGGTTATGGGAAGTTCAGAGAGGATCGACCCGATTATAGCAAGACCCAAGGTTGACCTTTTCAGTTTCTCCTCAATGCTCCGGAGAGCGTCGATTTCAGTGATTGGGTAATCCTTGATAATGCCACCCTGCATTAAAGACATTGCTTCTATTTCAGATAGGTAGCCGAGTTTGATAGGGTCAAGGTTCATCACATGTGGGAGACGTGTTGAGATAATGACATGTGTCTCTCCGCCAAAACGGGGGAGAAGATCCATCACAAGCTTACGGTCCCACCAATCCTTTTCACTCTCCAAGTTATCAATTATAACCAAAAACGGAATGCTTCGCATGAGTTCCTTGCGGACCCTACTTATTGCGCCTTCCTCTTGCTCCTCAAAGCTCTTCATCCGGCTCTTCTCCGGCGAGCCCTCCACCCCTACGTCAACTTCTAGAAATGGCCAGAGATTCAAATAGTTCTGTCTGATAAATCTACTCTCACCCCCAATCCAAAGAACCATCTTGTACCGCTGATAGAACCGGTTCGCAAACTCGAGAAGCAGTTCAGTTTTCCCGATACCTGATTCACCCGACACACAAGCGATTCCCTTACCGTACACAACTTTCATTGATCTCTTCCGCCGCCCATGTTTCCGGAAAATCTTTGTTTTTTGTGCTTTTTTTTGGGAAACAAAATCAGCATTATGCATTTCAATCTCTTTCTCAGATTCTTTCCAAACCATAGGCTCCTTCCCCTTTTTACGCCTATTTTCTTCGAATGAGCTACTCCTACTCCTACTACGGATTGTCAGATTCTTACGCCTCGGCAGTTCGAAAAATCGTGCCTCTATATCCCCACTTGCATCCCCAAAAAGACGGAACTCAAGTTCGGACAATTCCTTCTTTCTGCCAATGAAATTCTCATTTCGCGGAAAAGGGAACTCTTCCTTTTCTGCATTCTCCCTCCACTTCGTCAGCCGGTCAACAATGCTTCTCTTCCCTAACCTTAGGGCCAAAAGCGTGACAGCCCTCAGAATGCATTCCCTCCACTTCCCGTCGTGGGCCTCAAGTTTCCACTCATCTACGCGTGAAAGGGCGTTCAAGGAATCTCTCCATTCCTTTTCGGGGCCGCCATAGTGGACCCAAAGCTCCCCGCCATGCTTTTCCCATAGCTCCCCTCTCCTCTCAATTATGTCTCTCACGAGACAATCATCCGGACCCAAATCAAAGTAGATCGGAACCAAAATCTTCTTGCTGGAGAAAAAACGGAGCTCTTGGATGGTGTACGGGTTCCGGAATGACTTCCTGGTTAAGACAACAACCCCAAATGCGGATGCATCCATCACTCTGTCTATCATGCTATGCTTCCTCGTACTCTTACACCTCGCTCTGTCTGTCACAAAGCAACTCACCCCTTGAAACTCCAACTCAGCGCGAAGCCAATTCGTAAATCTTGACAGTGAAGATTTCTTGCCATGGAAGCCTATATACACATCGCAACTTCTCACTCGACTCGAGAGAGAAGATGTGGAGGTTGGAGTGACTGAAGTCTCATACGCTTTATCCATATATCTCTGCTTTCCTCTATGTCTCCTCCTTATATGTTCTTCGTATTCATAGTCAACATTGTAAGTTGACACTGGGCTGTTGGAGATGGACGTAGAAGATATCAAACCAAAATCTATCTTTTGAATGTTGTTATTATTAGTAGTGGTGGTGGTGGGACATGAATCGGCAGATAATTGAGCATTTTCCAAAATTATCCCCGGATTAATATTTGGGGGTAAAGGTCCTTTTGGGGATCTGGGAGAGATAAAAGGTGACTGATTTGCTGAAAAGAATGCTGATGATGAAGATGAGGGGTTTCTCGAAGTTAAGGCTGGGAATGACCCGAACCTTGAACTGTCTTCACAGAGATCCATTTTTCCGCAGATATTTACCCCATCATTGATGAAAATTAGAATAAATGTAGTCTTCACGGGGAGGGAAATGACCTGAAATGAATAAGGATGTTAAAAAGATTTGATTTTTAATTAAAACACAAACAGGAAAAAACAGTATGAAGCATCTCACCAAAATTTCAAAAGCCATTGACTAATCAGTGTACTTTTCTTTTGTTATTACCAAAGGGAAAACAGGAGATGCTATGAGCATAAAGAACATCATTTACAGGATAAAAATGAACTATAGCACATTTCTCCATTATAGCAACTAACATAATGAAACTGGCAACTCCAGAACTAAACTCAGGAAAGTAAATCATGCCCCATATGGCCATAATGCCATATACATCAACCAACAAGTGAATAATGAATATGTATACTTAATACTGTGTTTGAACACAGAAACTGTATTAATGATAAAGAGCATAAATCTTTTTGAAAAATCGAAACTTCATGGAAAGGTTTAGGAGATTTAGATCAAACGAAAGTTTTTCTAAAAAGGAAAAGGTGCATTTGCACTCTTGGTATTTAGGAGAACGGAAACATATACCCTTGACGTGTTAATGTTGGGGGGACAATTTGTTCAGGAAAAGTGAAAGCTATACTTTAGGCCTTTAGGGCAAACCAAATGGTGCCTTAACTCGGTGATGGAAACCATATACCCTTGATGTGTTAAAGTTCCAATTTTTTTATACAAACACAGTCTATCCACAATCTATCCATTAATCAAAATTTCAATTCCATTACTCCAACAACATATTAAGTAAAATTTGCAATTCTAAAAATCTAAAATCTTACAATAACAACTCCCATTTCAACTATAAAAAAACAAATTTCAATTCCAACAGTTTAATAATTGCCACTGAAAAACTAAATAAAAAAAAAAAAAAAAAAAAAAGATAGAGAATAGAATGACCAAAATGCCAAACTCAGGTAAAGAATAAAATCAGATAAAATGAAATAACTTAAAAACACACTTTTTAGAAATGAAAATAAAATAGAAAAAGCAAAATTAAAAACAAAAGGGAAGATTACTCCGTGGAGTGAGTCGTGAATGGAGCTAAGGAAGGCCCAGTGGGCGGCCATGACGGCGGTTTTATCAGATGCTCTTGCTCAACGCTCCGACCATCAGCTTCATGAAGGAATGCTTGTAGACCGACCGGAGTTTTCCTACACAAGTAGTTGGCAACTCTTGTGCAGGGGCGGCTCTAGCATTTCGGAGACCCCAGACATAAAATACTCACTATGCACAAATCATATTGAAAATCAGATAAAATTGAATAAAAACACCATATGAAAAAAGCATATTCAAAGTGCACGATATAATGTTATTAATTTTCAAAAGGATACATTTTTAAATGCAAACTTAGTCTTTCTCTTTGTACATCCCGAGTTAAATTTCCGTTTGCCAGACAATACCTACATACTTATAAATAATAAAAAACCACAAAGAAATCAATTAACAAAAAAAACCTAAAACTTCTAAATAAATGACAAAACAAAAAACTACTTTACTACTATCAATCCCATCAAATTAATTATTTTATGTATTTTTTTTATGTATTTATCATCTAATATATACAATATCAATATAGCTATAATAAATTATTATCCTAATAATTTTTAAATAATACTGACTACTAATTATTCATAAGTCTAATTTAGTAAGTATTTAACTTTACACCAAATTATTAACCCAATTTAGGAATTTAGCTCAAATAGTTAAAACAATTGCCTTTGGTGCTGGAGTGCTTCCCCAGTTCTCTGCTTGTCTGCCTCTTCTTTACAGCTTTAGGCTTTAGGCCTTCTGGCCTTTATCTTTAGACTTGATATTTCACTATTTTATTGACTAAACATCTAAATTCTAAAAAGAAATCAGAAATAGACCTATAGAGAATCAATCGATGGGAGAAAGAAACAAAGAGTAATAAGGTATTAGGAGGACTGGAGGAGAGAACTAGAGAAGTCAGAAACAGAGATTCACTCACGTCTCACCCGGGTTGGCGGCGGGGCGTTCGGACGGTGGACTGTGATTCGCGGTTGCTGCTTGGGAAGCCGGTTGCTGCTTCAGAAGATTGAGAACTTGAGAAGCCGGCTTCACCATTCACATAATAATACTAGGAGATAGTTTTTATTTTAAGGCCCCCTTGACATGGAGTACTTCCTTTCATGTTTTTGTTTTTATTAGGAACCCTTTGAAACATTATTGGTAAGGGCGCACAGTACCATTGAAACCCAGGAGCATTAATGAGTGAACGAATATGAATGGAAATGTTTTTAAAAAAAACCCAACTTTATGGAAAGATGAAGCAACTTATTTAGATCTAGAGAATGAAAGAAGACTGAGCGGAGCAATTTAAAAAAAAATTAAAAATAATGCCATTAAAATAACATTTAAAAAATCATACTTTTCTGGAACACCATCTATCTTCCTTGAGTAAGGGCTTGAAAACATGTCATCCAAGATTCAGCATTTCCAGAGATAAAGGTGGAATCTTTGCCACCCCAAAAACAATGGTTTTGTTAAGGCAATCCAAATCTATGGTGGGCGTCTTCAACAATCAACAAAAGAAGGCTTCTTGGAACTGTGAAGATAAAAACCCATCACTAAGTTTCAAAGTACAGTCTAAATGCAGTAGCAGAACAAGTGAATGAAGCAAGCAAATTTTGACTCAAACTGGACTTTTTTTCTTTGAAAAGAGAAGAAGAGCAAAACGTGGGAAAAGATTCTAAAAAGGATTGGATGGGATTGCAATCGGGAGAATCAATTTGAAACGACCGGTTTTACCTTTCCAGAAAGTCTAGAAGAAGGGTTCAAACACTTTAGCCGACTATGAATCTTGCTTTGCCTCTTCTCTTGAATCTCTTCAGTCCACCTTTTGAGTTTTTATTATTACTACACCGTTCGAATTTGTACTTCAAACCCACCACAACAGCGTTAAAGCCTTACCAGACCTAGTGAGTAGTAAGTACGGACTAGTGAGTAGCGCGACAAGCGACTATAATTTTGCATTCATGTTTTTAAACACCGAATAATTAGGGAGTGCTTGTAATTGCTTCAACTTTAATAAAATGATTTTTTAAAGGGAAAATGGAAACTAATAATTCAACCTTTTAGCGATCTTCTTATAATAGTCTCACCTTTTCGTTATTCAAGAATAATCCAACCTTTGCACCCCATCTTCATTCGTTGGTCCCTGATCGATTAATGACCTGCTATTCCAAGTTATTTTCTCATCTTTGCAAAATATTATCTTTGTAAAAGATGAGATTTATGGTATAATGGTTTGCAAAGATAATAAAATAACTTGGAATAGGAGGTCATCAACCGGTCAGGGACCAATGAATGAAGATGAGGTGAAAAGGTTGGATTATTCATGAATAACGAAAATGTGAGACTATTGTAAGAAGACCGCTAAAAGGTTGGATTATTAGTTTCCATTTTCCCTTTTTTAAAATGGTTTTGGGAAAAGTGATTAATAGTAAAACTTGGTAGTGTTTGAGAAAAAAGTGATTCTGAAAAAGTAAAAGTTGGTAGTGTTTGGTAAAATAAGTACTTTTTGTGTAATAGAAAAAGTGAAAAGCAGTTTAAAGCACTCTTCCACCTGCTTCCAACTTTTAGCTTTTAAGTGATTAATTTAAGCAGAAGCTGTCATTTGAAAACACTCTTTTTAGCTTTTTTTAAGCCAAAAGCTGAAAAGCGCTTTTTTTAAGCAACCGCAAACACTGCTTTAGTACTACCTCCGTCCCTTTTTATTTAGCCAACTTTGACTTTTTCAGTCAAAGATGATAAACTTTCATCCATTATTTTAACTAATATATATGTGTGAAACTTAAGAAATTTATACTTTTATGATAATACTATTAACAAAGAACATTTTCATATCATTTTCATATTATCAATATTATCGTGCATAAATATATAAGCGGTCAAAGTTGAGTATCATTGACTTAGAACGTAGTGATTGGCTAAATAAAAAGAGACGGAGGGAGTATTATTTTGAAATAGTGACCCATAATCCGATATACATCAAAATAAAAATAAAAAGTGTTTTCCAAAATATTATTAATAAAAAGACAAGAATAAAAGTATGACTTAGTATTTAGTAATTACTATAAATATGTTCATAGTGTATGAGCATATTTTTTCTAAAATATTACTCCGTATTAATAAAAAGACAAGATTAAAAGTATGACTTAGTATTTAGTAATGATTATAATTATGTTCATAGTATATGAGCATATTTTTTATTAAAAGATCTTTCATAGAAAAACAAAATTAATAAATCACACAAATATAATATCTAAAAGGCATTTTTCTATGAATATCACTGAATTAAATTCAAAAGACAAAAAATTAACTTATTTTAAAATTTTTCACAAATGTGACATATTTAGTTACTAATTCACAGTGATTCATCATCTATAGAGATTTGTCATTCTAAAATGAGTAAAGAGTCAGATTGGTACTCGAATTTGCATAAAAAGGGTCAAATAAGTCCTTACTTTCCCGCCGTCGTCATTTGGGCAGGTTCTCGGTGGAATTTTATGATGAATTTTTTTAGCATCTTATTCATTAAATCTAGTTTACTCATACCAAATTTCAGCTAAAACTTCAATCGGGAAGGCATTCAAATGAATTCTTGAAGATAATTGCGCTTTTATCTTCCAGAATTCATTTGAATGTCTTCTCAATTGAATCCAGATGATTTTTTGAAGATAACTGCGCAGTTATCTTCCAGAATTCATTTGAATGCCTTCTCGATTGAAGTTTTAGCTGACATTTGGTATGAGTAAACAAGACTTAATGAATAAGATGCTCAAAAAATTACATCAAAAAATTCCACCGGGAATCGCCCCAAATAGCGACGGCCGGAGAGAGCCTCCTATAAAAGGACTTATTTGACCGTTTTTATGCAACTTCGAGAACCAACCTGACTCTTTTCTCATTCTAAAATACACCATAGTGACTAGTTCACTGTGATTTGTACATAGCGATTAGTCATATTTTTGTCCAAAAATATAATTAGTCATATTTTCTTCGTCTATTAGTAATATACATGTCATTTTTCTATCTAAAATCATTGTTTAATTAAATTTTAAAATTATTGACCAATAAAACACAATTTTATCAATCTTTTTGGGACAGAGATACTCATAGTATTTTACAATGTAGTACCACGATGGTATAATTATAGTAATTTTAGTCACTTTTTTTTATTTGTAAGCTTTATATATATAAGTAATATTTATTAAAAAAAAATACTCTGTAGTACTTTGCATTTGTGTTTTTTCATTTTTAGCCTTTTTCTTATACTTTTTCTTAACACGCTTCTTATATTATACATTTTGATGTGCAGATTCTAAAACCAAGTGGTTAAGAAAAAACCAAATTTTAATGGTAAAGTGAACTAAAAACCTGGTTAATTTCATAGAATCTTAATTTAGTTAGAATTGAATAAAGTTAATTTAAAACCCCAAATTTTATATACCCACTTCCTCCCACAAAATTTGATCCAATTGACTTTTATTAGTCAATGAAAATAAATCTTGAAAAATGATTTTAGCTATAATTTTTGTGTGAGATTTATAATTTTATACTTTTATTAAAGTATTCCTAAAAAGAACATTTTCATATCATCTTCCTAATTTAAGTAATTTCGTATTAAAAAATATATTTGCTCAAATTTGACAATCATTAACAAAGAAAAATCAATATGACCAAATTTTATGGGACTGAGTCCGTATAAAATTGTCATTTTAATAGTTATTAGTTGAAATGAATATAGTAAAAAATTATTTGGATATAGATTAACCTAGTTATATATGTTAAATTACTTATAGAGAGAATAAACATTTGATTCAAAATCTCCCTAGCATTGTGTTATCAGTTTCTCTTTAAAACTATGTTCTTGTCGCATGTGGAAAATAAATGAGGTGAACTTGAAATTAAATCTAGAAAAACCTAGATTTACCTATATAAAAAAGACCATAGATCCATTTTATAAAGGTCAAATTAAGATAACATAAATTGTTAGACGACTTATATTGTATGCCCAGTTGTATAATGCTCACTGTACAACAATCGGGTATTTTTGTAATAAATTACACTTTGATGGCAAGGGTAAATGATTTGTTGCTCTTCATTGCTCTAATCCGAGATTCCTGGTGCGTCGAGTTGTTGTTCCCATATTTGCTCATTTCCTTCTTTTCATTTAATATCAGCAATTTTCAATTTACATCTAAAGTTAACACATGTGAATTTCAAAATTAACCAAATGAGATGATAATTTTATTAAAAATATCCCTCCCTCTTTCATTAGTAATACTCTGGTTTTTTTTTATATTTAACGCCCACCAAGTGTTTGAAAAAAAATCAAAAATGAATTTTTATTCTTGGTGAGTTATTTTATTGTTTGATTCACTTATATAAAAACTTCTAATTATATATTACTTTTCTTAATATAGTAATTATAAAAAATACTAAATTTGAGTAAAAGATTTAACCATATTAATGCTATTTGCAAATAATATACTCAGTATATTATATTTATGAATTATTTAAATGAGTTTTACCTAAATGAGTATAATGTTAAGAGGGAATGTGTAATGATATAATGTTTTAAAATGAGTATAAAATAATGTTGTAAGTGTGCATTGATGTAAAATTATGAAGTTAATTGGTAAAATAAAACTTTTAAGTCCATATCAAATAAGGAATTATAAAGTACTTCTTTTATGAGCACACATTACTTCTTTTTTACTCAACCACACATTACTTATAATGTGTGCATTGATATACCGTTTTAAAATGAGTACAATAGAAGTGATATGTTATATATACTTACATGTAGATTATTGAAATAAGTTTTGTGTTATACTAAAATGAGTACAATGATAAAACTAAATGTGCATGGGTAAAACATTATAAATCAAGCACAATAAATTTGTATGTCGAGAATGATGAATAATTTTTGAGTTGGTTGTAAAAAAACATTATAAATCAAGCACAAAAAATATTGTTTTTTCTATTAAAAAAACTTATTATATTTTACTCATTTCTAAATCTATTGACAAATTATTAATTTAGTCTAATTATATTGAGTTGGTTGTAATTAATATATGATGTGTGGATTATATAAATGAGTTTTAGATTATATTCAAATGAAAACAATGTTTAAAAGAAATATGAACATTGATATGACATAAAAAGAGCACAATAAAGATTTCAAATGAACATGCAGTAATGAATGTATTTAAATGAGATCAAAACAAACAAACATAAGTGCGATTTCAAATTTTTCAATGCTCATTACGTAAATAATGTGTGCTTATTTTGCACTTGAGTTATGCTCATTCCAAAATATCAAATCAGATCAATGCACATTTCACAAGTACTGTATGTAGCTCATTTGCTACTTCTGATCACTTTAAAATGATATAATTATGCACATTGCTTGTAAATATTATTTCATTTTGTATAATATAAAAATCATTTAAATAATTCATACATGTATTATATACATATTGCAGACCGTCGTATTATAATTATGATTATTTACATCACTATTAGTAGTTTTTGAAATTAGAAAATAGCAATCTTTTGATGTATACATAGTATGTGTGTGCTCATAATTATGGTTATTTAGTTCACTCATTGTTTTTTTTTGTGCTCATTTAATAATTTCATACTAATGCTGATTCTTTAAATGTTATGTTCATTTAATTATTGTATAAAACTCATTTCATAATTCGCAAATCTAATTACATTCATAAACACCAACTTAGTATTATTACATTCATTTGCTAAACTATTTGTAGATTAATCACTAGAAATGTAATAATCTTATTGTTATTATTAAATCCTTATTTTAGAATTAGAGGCTTTATTGTGCTTATTTTTACAACTTTACACCTATGCACATTTATTTTACACGTTAAACTCAATTTAGTA